ATCTTGCATGGAACTGATGTCAAGCTGATAGGTCTGTAGTTTCCCGAGTCACTTTTATAACCTTTTTTAAATATTGGTGAGACATGAGCCTGTTTCCATGGATCTGGTAGGGTTCCTTCTTGGGTGGATCTGTTAAAGATGATTGTTAGGAGTTCTTTTAATGTTTCTATTGTTTTTGAGACGAATTTGGATGGATGTTATCTTGGCCAGGAGATTTGTTTGGATTTGGTTTTTTTCGTTGCTGCCAACACAAGATCTTCTGTTACTGATAGGTCGGTAAGCGAGCTATCGTATGGTCTTTCCTCGAACTCAGGCAAAACTACTTCTCTGTCGTCAACAAATACACTAGCAAAGAAAGTGTTCATAACGTTTTCCGTCTCCAAGTCCGAGGTGGTCATTTCTCCTTTATCATTTTTGACTCTGGTGATGGACGTTGCTGTTTTAGTTTTAGTTCTAACATATTTCCAGAACGGCTTTGGGTTTGTTTTGATGTTGTCCACCAAGTCCTTTTCAAAGGTATATTTTGATCTTCTAATTAGATGGACGCTTCGATTTCGCTCAGTCTTATATTTTCTGAAGTTTTCTGGGGTTTTGCAGTGGAGATATCTTTTCCAAAGTTGACCTTTTTTCTTAATAGAGTCTCTTGAAGCTTTGTTGATGTTGATTTTTCTTATTGGGAGGGATCGGGAGTTATTCCTCACTGGTACATGTTTCTCTATTTCTTTATTTATAATTAAAGAAAATGTCTTCCAAGCCTCCTTGACGTCTGAACATCTATTAAGTTCATGAGAATCTATTTGTTTGTTGTCTTCATGGATTTCTTCATAGTCTCCTTTGTGAAAATATGTTTTATAGGTACCCGAATTTGTTCTGCTCGTGGAACTTGACTGTAGCAGATAAAGTCAAAGGTTAGTACTAGATGGTCACTTGCCTAGTCCATTATGGTAATTAAGACTTTCAACCATTCCCTCTTCATTAGAGAGGATTAGATCCAATGTTGATTGTGTTTGTCCTTCTCTGTATCTGGTCGTTTCTATGACGTGTTGGTACAGGAAGTTGCCCCTTAAGCACTCTAGGAAGAGTGTCGCTGGATGCGACTCACAAACGCTGGTTGTGTAATGGTTCCAGTTTATCTCTTTGTAGTTAAAATCCCCTACAATAAGTATGTGTGAGATTGTTTGGCTGCATATGTTTTCTAAGACTTGGTGAAGGTCGTTGTTATTTTCTGCCAAGCTGTTTGGGATTCTGTAGAAACAGTAGATAGCAAGTTTATCTCTGCCCTTTAGGTTTAGTATAAAGGATACTTGTTCTTCAAAGGATCCTGTTTGCTAAAGAGGGTCACAATCAATAGTGTTGATAACATATATGATCACACCTCTTTTCCTATGTTGTCCCATAAATTGGTTGTAGTATTGTATGTTGTAGATTCTGTCGTCTATTGGGGTTTGGTACATTTTTGGTAGAATTTCGGTTAGACATATCACATCTGGATGGTTATTTTCTATATAGAGTTCAAGTTCAGACTTCTTTGTTTAGGTAAGGGTGTCTACATTAGAGTAGTAGATTTTAAGCTTGTCCACTGGTATTTTAGAGGAATCACCAATGTCATTAAAACTGGTAAAAACGTCTTCCTAGTACCTGTCAAGATCAGCTGACCTAGGTGGTAGATCATTTATTATTGTGCCGTTTAGGTCTTCGAAAGAGTCTGTGCTGTATATAAGCGTTGGTTCCTCCTCTACAGTAGAGATCTGGGTGTCCTCAAGATATGGGTTGGACGGCATACGTTGAGGTATTGGCACTTGTTCCATTGACAGAATGGGACTTGGTGGTATCTGATCCACACTTTGGAGTGGGGCATATACAGACCTGGTAGCTGTTGATGGTATTCTTGTTTTGTTACCTAGTTGTTTTTTGACATCACTTGAGGCTGTTTTAGAGACTGGGTGATTTGGTGTTGTTACTACCTGTGAGTTCTTCCTCTTGTCTGAAGTGTTGTTTGTGAGACTGGATGGGGCAGGTACCTGTTGTGGGTTGGGCCTTCTGTTCTCTAGTCGCTGTTTCTTTTCTTCTCTCTGCTGTTTTGTCAGGTCCTTAGTGAGGATTACACTATAGAGTCTTTCTGGGGCCCTGTCTTTTATAGAACGGGCATTTTCGAGCAGGAGTTTCCTTTGTTGTTTGATGTCTAGAACAACAACTATTGGTCGGATGGAATCAGGTTTACTTCTTCCCATACGGAAATGTGCTAGAATTCCTATCGGATGAACTCCTAATGTATGACTCAGTGCACGTATGCCCTGTTCATCAAGAGACTTGTTGTTGAGGGGGTTTGAATCTGTTTTTTCTGGAACGCGGAAAAGGATAATATTTTGTTCTTTGGATTTCCTTTCTTCCCATTCCTTGTATCTGGTGTCTACCATACTGTTAATGTTTCCCTTGAACTCTTCAATGAGTTGATGCTTGGTATGAGAGAGATCTTCCTGGATAACTGATTTGGTGTTGATTTCCAGGTCCGATAGTCTGGTTTTAAGGCACAAAATGCGTTGTTCATTCGTCTCGCATAATATTTTTAGTGAAATACTTATGTTTTGAAGGGTTGGTTGAGTCTTTTTACAGCTTCTGCAGTTGAACGACATGTCTTCTAACTCACCACTGGCGAAGCAACTGTACACTGAGTCCGATATACATGAGCATTCCTGGCAGAATTGTAGACTGCACCCCTCACCTCGGATGTGTTTGGTATTGGTCGTCAGTATGTTGTCGCATTTGCCACATATGTTTTCCAAATCTTCTCTAGAACGCTTTCTGGAGGCTGAGGGATCTACAAGGTTACTCCTCCTGAATTGGAATGTTGTATTTGTATTGCCTTCCGCCATGGTTGGCTATATGTGTGTCAGGATTTGATGATAGTTTAATATAAAATCCAAGTGATTACCCTGAAGACTTCTAGCAATATAAATATTACATGCGAGACGAGGCAATCCTCACCATCGCTTAGGTGCCTGCAGAGACAAGTCACTGTTAGGATTTTCCTATATGCTAATCCTCGCTGCCAACCCTGCACTTTTCCATAATGCGTATTAGCCAGTATTTGGCTAAGGTGCCTATAGGGTGGACACCGTCCTGTAGTAAGTTGATGTTGAGGGAGTATCTCGGGGAGGTATTGACATCTAAACGTTTGGGATTTCCCTTCCTTTTCTGTGATCTTACAAAGTCCAGACAAAATTTTGGGGAGTCAAAGTTGAGGTTGTTGTTGAATTCTCTGACAACACTATTATAGCTGTCTATTTGTTTGTTAATATTTTCATCCTCCTTTTGATCTTGTTGGGCTTCCCAGTCGAGGTAGTCTCTCTGTTTGTTCCAAGTTGTGACTGAGATAGGTGGAATCTCCATGAATCCTAGTCTGGTGTTGGGTGTTTTGTCTATGTAGTATACAAGGTTAGTGAAAATCTCACGTGTAGCGCTGATGAGTCGATTTACATCTTGGTATCTAGGGAGGATGTATTTTTCCCTTTTTACAGATATGTCACATGTTCCACGCCAAAAAAGTATTAGCGTTGGGTTTGTGGTATCCAATTTTGACAAGAGGTTTTTAACGAAGGTAATGCCATCCGATGCATTTCGTCCTCCCTTAAAGCACAACTCTATGGAATCTGGATCAATATCAAGAAGGGGGACAGATTGTTTTAGATATCGCCCTTTGCTGTCCGAGACGAGAATGACCTTTGTCCAGGAGTAAGTTGAGTATCCTTCCTCTTCTCTATATATTTTTCTAACTTTTCAGTCGACATGTAGACTTTATTAAATAAACACACTGTGGAGGCTAGATATACATTGGGTTACACTTTCAACACATGATTATAAACAGACGTATGCGAGATGAGGCAATCCTCACCATCACTTCCGGGTGTTCATTTCACTTTATTTGTATACAGGATTAGATGCTTGGTTGAGAGTAGAGACGAGTAGTATGAACACTAACTGAATATTCTTAAGTCAATAAGTGTAGTGAATAATATTTACCACATAGTAGTATTCAGAAGTTCATCACCTTCGGGACGAAGACATGTACCCCCTCCCCCAGCTGAACCGCTAGTGCACTTTGTTCTGCCAATATCATTACACACGATTAATTAAGTTTGTATACAGTGTACCTGATGTTGGACGGAGTATCTTCAAGATAATTTAGAAACACAAAATCAAATATGGCGTCCTACCACATTGCTAATTAATTTAAAATAGATGTAAACAAAATAAACGCCCGATCTTCTACATATGACTCCAGTTGTTGATGAAGAATGTAAATTAGGGTCCATTCTCTTGAAATAATGCAAATTTAAAGTCCATTTCCCTCCATTTCGGTAACGAAAATCGTGCCGTGAATTGCGTTATTTTGAAAAAATAATTTAAAATAGATGTAAACAAAATAAACGCCCGATCTTCTACATATGACTCCAGTTGGTGATGAAGAATGTAAATTAGGGTCCATTCTCTTGAAATAATGCAAATTTAAAGTTCATTTCCCTCCATTTCGGTAATTCAACTCCATTTCGGTAAATATCCCAACCGCCAATTGCTATGGTCGACTGTCGATTGAAATCTAGACCGTCGCTATTTTGCGGTTTTTACCTGACATAGTGTGGATAAGTTTAAATGTGTCCCGTCTGCATTAAGTTATGATCTGATAAAGAATGAATAGTGGATGGGCTGAATATAAATGTTATAAATTATCAGGCTGTAAATAATTCAGGGATTTTTTTTGTCGTGGTCCGTATATATACTTACTGTAACAGTACAGTAGAGGAAATATACCTGTTATTGTGTACGTGAAAAGAATTGACCAAATCGGAGAAACACGAGAGAAAAAATAAGTGATGTACTAAAGCCCTAGACCTTGTTATAAACTATAACTATACCTATATGGTGATATATATATATATATATATATATTGCCCGATCATTTTACATGCTGCATAAATCCGGAATCGATGTCCGGTACCGTTTATTTATTGTGTTTTTTTCAATATGTCTGCGCCCTTTAGCTCGATATCAACAAAGCTAAGCTAGCATGTAAATTGTGAAGTTAACATGTGAATATTTATGAATCGATAGATATGGCAGATTTGAAGGAACAAGTGTTTCAAAGCAACACGGGAAGTGACAAGCCGTCAAAGAAAGCCACATCCAAGGATGGTAACGAACCAGGTTCTGGGATTCGGCATGCGAAAACTACTTCGCTGTTTCGAGTTGTCAACTTTGAATTATATGCAAGACCAGTAAGTTATGTTTTTCATCACATTTGAACCTTTCGTAAATTATTTATTTTCAAATCTTGAATATCCTCTGTTTATCCTCTGTAATCACGGGCATAATACAAAGATGCTTTAGAGACTATACAATAAAAAAATGTAATTTCACCCCACGTGCACAGGGACCTGAGAATTTGAGACAGCTATATTTCTTCTTCCAATTTCCGGCCACCTTCGACGTGTCGAAGAGTATGCCATTTTGTGTGTGTGCACATTACTATGAAAAGTTTAAGGATCAGGTTAAAAACTGGATAAAAACAATGGAACGGTTTTAGTTGATATGCTGGGTCACTTGAGACTTAAAGATCTCAATAAGTGATGTTGCTGAGGCAATATCAGGTGGCAGGCTGTTCCAGTCCCTCACTGTATTTACAAAGAATGACCATTTCCTGCAATCTTTGTTTGTTGATGGAATTGCAAGACTGTGTTGGTATGAATGCCTTGATGTCCTGGTTGGCTTGCTGAAGTACTTTTGGTGGTCAATGTCTACTTTGTTGTTCATGATCTTATACATCATAGACAAGCGTGCTTCTTTTCTACGTTCTTGTAATCTGGGCCACTGCAACTGTTCTATCATCGCTCCAACACTTGATCTGTTTCTGTACTTGCCCATTACATATCTTGCTGCTCTTCTCTGTATTTTTTCTAGCTGGTCTATATGTCCCTGTTGGTATGGGTCCAATACGGTGGCTGCATATTCGAGTTGTGGCCATACCAGTGACTTGTATATATGCTCACTTTATTACATATGTTGTTGAGATCAGAAGCAATAATGGTACAGCCTAGATAGGGCGCGTCAAATTACCCAATACTACCCAATACTACCCCATACGATCCAGTTATGAACCAAATACTTCTTTATTACTGTGAAATATCACCTTTGTAGACGTTATTTACTTCCATCTGTCATATTTTATCAGGAAATATGCGATTTGGTGCCGAAAACATCACCAAATTTCCGTGACTATGACCCAATACTACCCCATACGACCCAATTATGAACCAAATACTTCTTTATTACGGTGAAATATCACATTTCTTGAAGTTATTTACTTCTATATGTCACATCCTTTCTGGAAATACGCGATTTGGTGCAGAAAACATCACCGAAATGCCGTGACTAGCTGCTTTCACCCTTCACAGGGCTCTTCAGGGTGAAGGGTGAAAGCAGCTAGTTTTTTAGTCGGTCGTTAATTTTATTTTTTTCTCTCTATATATATATTTATATATAAATTGCCAGGCCAAGGTTCCAATTTATGTCTCTGTTTTATTTTATAAAAAAAAGGTTGTTCAAAGAATTATATATTACATATATAATAAATATGTATCTGGGTTATTTTCTCATTTATATATATGACATTGTTATTGCGATGTCATAACACCTGAAACATTGGAAATGACATTATGATAACTAAATTTTAATAACTTCATAACTTATACTCAACTCTTAATAAATAGCATGAATATATTTTGAGTGAATTAATTGATGTTAATGTGTAGATTACAATCCCATCCCGTCTACGATCTTAAAAAAAAAGAAAATATGCAATTTTCCAACTCAAAAAAGGGACATCAAACTGAAAATTAAATATTATTCTATATGTAAATATAAGTTAATTGAAATACGTGTTTTACGTAAATAAACATTGAAGTCCATATGTTGGATTGCCGTTAGGCCTTACTGTGTATTAATTGTATATGTAAAGAAGAAAGAAACACGTTGAAACGCTTGAAGTTTCAATTTTTTTCAAAGGCCGATGTGGTCAAAACTGATTATCTAATTCCGTAATAGTAGACAATAGACTTCTTGTTCCAATGTTCAAGCTGGTTTTAGGAAAGGCTACTCTACAACTGAAAATATATTTATCCTTCATGGTTTAATATCTATATACGTTTCAAAAAGTAAAAAGCTATTCTGTTCATTCATTGATTTCAGAAAAGCGTTTGAAACTGTTTGGAGGGTAGGTTTATGGAAGAAATTATTAAAGAATCATATCACAGGAAAGATATTAAGGCTATAATAAATCTGTATGAAAACACTAAATCTTGCGTAAAAACTAGCAATGGTATGACTGATTTTTTCACATGTCACGTCAGGGTAAAACAAGGTGAAAATCTCTCCCCAGTTTTGTTCTCAACATATTTAAATGTTAAATATTTGAAAATATATAGACCATATCATAATTTTGTTAAGAACAGCTATTATACATAATACATTAATAAATTAAAACAAACTATCACATGTGCCAATCCAGAGAGCAGGTGATTGGGACAGCCCCTACCTAATAAACTCTTGGATTTTTTCCTTACATATTAATTACAATAATAGTTAAAAGGTTTCTTTTACATTTACTGCCTTAAAACATGATGTCTTTAAAAAAACAATAACAATGGTGATAAATAAAATGAATAATTTCCTAGTTCTGCATTGTAGTGAAATTTAGATTTCCAAGGGTTGGGGAGCCTTCTACCAGCGAGGTCTGCTAAATTCACACTAACTAGTAGCTAATTATAATTTAAACGGAAGATTATTTTCATAAACAAATGTTTCTGATTGACACCTGGTATCATATTTAACAAATGCATAAAATAGAAAATGTAATTGTATATGATATTCAGCCTAAAATGACTTACAAGACACTGTTTAAAATTATTACTAATCACATAGACTGCTACGTCTTCTGTACATATTATATAAGTGGTCTGCAAGTGGGATTTGTAATTCCTCGGAAGACATTATAAAATTAAATTATAATATATATATTTACCTGTAATTGTGATTTAGATTCAGTACCTGTATCACGGACTTAGATGACAATCTAATTCCGTGCCTGTATACACCTCATTAGTGTACCTTCAGGAACTTGGATTGTTAAGTTCCCGGGGGCACAGAGTCGGGATATTTGCCCGAGTCCAGAATGGAGCCGCACTCCAGATAACAGATTTCTGTTATTTCCTAATTAGTGTCACAAACGCAGGGTTATTAAAAGTATATTTCAATTCAATTCATTTCCGTAAGTTTTACAACTTATAGGATTTTCAACAAATAATTTCATATAAGTACAACATATAATTACATATTACTGGCACATTCATCACAAATCAGTAGCAACAAGAACATCATCGAAATCATAGATCATCGCTTTCATCATTATCATCATCATCATCATCATCGTCAAAGTACAACAACATGACATAATTACATGAATATCATAAAACTGGTACAATTTTTACAAATCACCGATATTATTGAAATCATTACCACTCTCATCATCATCATCATCATCATCATCAACAAAAAACAACAACGTTGAGTATTTACCATCTTAAACATGAAAGATTGTTCGAACAAAACATGACATGATACGATTGAGTAATACAAAATTAGGTAAAACAAACTTATAAGTTAAACAATCCTTCGTTTGTTAGCTTCAATAATAAGTTTACCTAACAAATTCAGTTCTTTTACATTGTATGTATTTACTAATTCGATAAGTTTGAATACAGATGGTTTTTGCCGGTACTAATTTTTAATATATTTTCTCCTTAGATCTAGATGACGTGGGCAGGTAAATAGAAAATGAAATTCATCTTCTATCTCTATTAGGTCACAGTTACTGCAATATCTATTATTCCTTGCAACATTCCTGTATCTTCCCGTTTCTATTGCAAGATTGTGAGCTGACAGGTAATTTGGTAATCATAATTCGACGTTGTTTTGGTATAAACTTTGTTAAATAATATAGCTACAACACAGTATCTACCATGTATTTATAGAGATCACATTTACTTGAGATGGCCAACAAGTTGAATAAAATATATGTGTATAAAGTATCTCTGGGAGTCAAATCAAGTTTTCATGTCATTTATTTTTTTTGCTTTCGGATGATCATAGACGTATATATTACGTAATGTAATATATACGTCTCTGGATTGATGTATAAGAAGCGTAACGTAATTCCTTTTATTAATCTATTTAATTTTTACATTGATTAATGACAACCTACTCGTCTACCCTTCATAAGATTGGTCAGGGAACTATATCTGGAAAAATATCTAGCTTGTCCAAAACAGACTATCTGTGAGTTAATCAAGTAATTGAAAGGACTTCAAATCATATACAATCCATATACTTTTTGAATTTCATAGTATTTGAGTATCTAATTTAACTGAAGGTTCTTCTCCAGCATTGTAATATAATTGATACTGTTATGTTTAACAAAATTGAATAACTGACATTTTTGAAAAGTAATTTCAAATTTTCTTAATATTTCCTGTTAAATTTATATATATGATTTTAATAACACCATTTTATGACATGAATAGAACTAATATAGTATCATGTAATTGCAATTCTTTTATCAAATTTATCTTATACCCGATAATGATACTTAAATGTATGTAATATATATATTCATTAATGTATATATAATAATTAATAGTTTTCTGCCCGTTCCTGCAGTTCCTGTAAATCGTCGAACCCCTAGTCACGGCATTTCGGTGATGTTTTCTGCACCAAATCGCAAATATTTCCAGAAAGGATGTGACATATAGAAGTAAATATCTTCAAGAAATGTGATATTTCACAGTAATAAAGAAGTATTTGGTTCATAACTGGGTCGTATGGGGTAGTATTGGGTGGTATGGGTACAGACTTAGATCTAATTTAATTCCGTGGTATGGGGTAGTGTATGGGGTAGTATTGGGTCATTGTCACGGCAATTCGGTGATGTTTTCGACACCAAATCGCATATTTCCCGATAAAATATGGCAGATGGAAGTAAATGACGTCTACAAAGGTGATATTTCACAGTAATAAAGAAGTATTTGGTTCATAACTGGGTCGTATGGGGTAGTATTGGGTGGTAT